ACAAGAATTCCCTGAAGTTTCAGATATTCGGATTTGCCTCGATTTTTACGGGATTCTCGGGGAATCAAAGGAATTCGGGAATGGATTATAATTTTATAAATAATTGTATCAATCTAATGTAATTATTATATTAATGCATTTTATGTCAATTAAATTGAAAATTAAACAGATTTCATTTGAGAATCGGCCGATTTTTTTAACAGGATGAAGAAAAAATCGTTATGTTTTTTCTTGTTCATGAGATTATTCAAGAACTTTCATTTGTTAAGGATAATTTGATTGGGATTTTACGACATGCGATCTCCGGTAATCTAATTTGTTTAATGGACGAATAAGAAATCGCAGCGATTTGTTAACAATAAAAATATGGGGATTACTCGGGTCAATTGGTAAATGAGCTTTATGCAAATAATTTGCTCTCATTGTTTACGTAAAATGTAGATTGTCGTTATCGAGGAATGGAACAATGAGAGAATGATATCACCACGAGGACAATGAAGAAAAATTCAGAGTCCTTGGACTTTATCATTGATGAATAGTTTCCACTTTGTATTTTATTTAATAATAATAATAATTAAATCCCAGAAGATTAATTGACAAAACCTATATCCCTAAAATAAAAAATGATTGATGAAAAATGAAAAACGAAATGCTGAAATTACTCTTTCGGTAAAATTACCAGTGATTTTGAATTTCCTTTGTTATTCCGCGGTAATTTGCGATTGTTATTTTTTTTTAATTCTGGTTATTATGTTATTGTTTATTTAGAGGACAAAACCATGTACTTCAGAACAGACGATGACTTCCTGATAATATTTCTACGTCCTTGCAAATATTACCCAGAGAGTGCTTACGCTCTTATGCAGCGTATTTCTGACTTCAAGGTCAAGAATGCCGCACTGTTGGACAATTTGGTACCAATGGACGAGAGGACAGCGATGTTTGAAAATAATGTTGTGAATGTACTGAAGGGTAGAGATCACAAAGGTAGACGTGTTCTCATAGTCAACACTGGAAAGACTTGGGACCCGTCAAAAGTCAATGCTGATTCCTTGTTTAGAATTTTTTATCTCATCCACGAAGCAGCTGTTCTCGAGCCCGAGACACAGGTGAAAAACTCATTACCATTGGCAAACGAATAAATTATTTCGGTAAATCACACACGAGTGAAAAGAAATTAATAAAAAAAAAGACACTTCACTGGATTTTTTTTCCGCCAAATCCATGACAACCCAAAATGTCCAACGAAAAAATTCCCCGGTATTCCATTCTATTTTTAATAAATTTCGGATTTTCTAATGTAATTTATGAGGAGATAATATTTTCTGTGGAATTATCTCGGTTCAGGTTTCCGGTTTTTAAAGTTTTTAATTTTATTTGTTTATCAAATTAACTTACAAGTGAAATTATTTTTAAATAGAATTGTGTGGGTATTACGATAAAAAATGTCTTTAAACAGATTTAGAAAGAGAATTGTAACTGAGTAAATGATAATCCTCAGTTGACACTCGACGGAGTCGTACTTTGCACCACATTTACTGACGATAAGACCTGATACCAGATATTATGTGTAGCTGTGAGATATCGATCGGTTCAAAGTTCGATCACTCGGAATTACCTTTTTCCAAATTCCACCACAACATGATTACCTATTGACGCTGGAAAAAAAAATAAATTCCACATCAATAATGTTTGTTATATCCTTGAATTTTCTTCAGGTACGAGGTGTTGTAGTTATCATGGATTTCGATGGTCTCTCAATGAAGCAAGTGATGGGTCTTTCCCCATCATTTAGCATGAGGCTATTATCCTTCATCCAGGATGCGATGCCCCTCAGATTAAAAGAGGTAACCCTAAACTAGATCATTAATTTCCTTTTTGGATGATTTAACAATTTAAAAAATTACCTGTCTAAATAATATCCGCATAAATATGACATTCACCTTTCAAATCACCTGCAATAAAATCTAAATTTGCAATGGAGGAAATGAATGAAGGCGTGATATTTTGATAATTTAATTAATAATTTGATGGTTAATGTACTTTTAGTGATGTTTGGGGGTGAAAATTGTGCACTTTGACAGGTCCACATCGTGAAGCAACCGTTCCTGTTCGACCTAGTCTGGAGGATGTTCAAGCCCTTCGTCCGGGAGAAGCTGAGGAAGAGAATGTACTTCCACGGTTCAAAGATGAATTCTCTCCACACCCACATGGCCCCAAGTCATCTTCCCAAGAATTACGGTGGTGAACTCCCCGAGATCGATTATACAGCTGCCGATTGGTTCCCCGCTTTCCAAGACTGCGAGGACAGTATCAAAGGTACCAATCTACCCCCCCAATTTGCCATCAACAAGAACTTTCCTAATTACTTCACTCCCCAAAGGAGAATTTCCAATTAATGGAAATTTCACCGGGAAAATTCATCCGCGGAAAATTAAAACACGATGACACTGACTTTAATGAGATTAAAACGAATTGAATACAATGGAGTAATGGGAAAGTATGATACGGGAAATTATGATAAGTCTCGATTTCTAATAGTTATGCTGTGAATTACGAATGCAACATTCTATACAAACTGTGATTTAATGTTTCAAAATCATTAATCGGTGCACGTGTCGCATTCGCAAATATTTTTCTGGTGATTGAATCTTAATTATTGTTGTAATTATAAAAGAAAATTGCGGGGTTTGATTAATGGAAAGTCCAGGGATTTCCGTGGCGAGTCTTTTGGATTTCGATGGAAAATCAATGAAATGTTATTTTTACACGATTTCCTTCATATCGTGGGAAAATCCGGGTATTCTGGGATTACTTAAATGCAATCATTATTTCACCGGTATAATTATCAACGATGACGAGCGCAAAACCGGTTTGCAGATGATTTCACAGATATTCCGCGAAAATACATTACATTACATAAGACCATCAAAAATCTTTCTAATTGAAAAATTTGTGGTGACGCTGAAATTTCTCTGGACTCCTCTCAACAATTTATTAAACAATTTAAATTTATCGACAAATGCCTGTGAATTTTTTATGAAAATTGTCTGCATCTGCGGAATAACTCCCATTTTTCCGATAATCATTTTATCATTTTACTCATTTATTGGGTCATATCACAATTATAAATAACGATAATTAATAATTATTATGGATTATTATGGCGTTTGTAGTAATTGTTGTAAGTTTAATTGAGGTTGCATTTGACGCTCCGATTAGTCGCGGGTTTCTGTCGGGAAAAAGTTTCGTATAATTAATTAGTTAATTGTTAATTAATTATTTCAGCCTGGAACACTTACGGCTATCGCAAGGACTGAGACTGCCTTCCGGGTAGAAAAATCAACGGTCACAGCAACGAAACCAGAATTACGAGTGATAATGGATATCTCTGAGGGGATGGGATCAAAGTTGACAGCTGTAATAAATTGTTAGGGAAAATTATTAGTTACTAAGTATGCAGAAGATTTATAAAATCCTTCATTTCTTGTTGACTATCGTTGCCTCGGGACTCGCAGAAGAAACTAGAAAATAAACTGAATGAGCAAAAACGCAAATTTATTTCATTTCCTTCCAGCATTGATTGCACAAAAATTATTGGAAAAAACTCACGGTTTCGCTGGACAATAAATAAATTGAACAATATTTCAAAACATTTACCAAAAATACAATTGTTTTGTTTCCCGATTTTTTTTTTGTTTCAAACCAAAAATTTTCCGAAGTTTCCGAGAAATTTTTGGAAAATTTGGAAAAAATATTCTGATTAAATTTTTTTACTCGGTCAATGCAAAAAAAATAAATCTATAAATCCACTTGCTATCCCCCATTTAAAACCCACAAACATTCCAATAAATTATTGGAATTTTTTTTTATATTAAAAGATCATATGGACGCGCGTCAGTAAAAATTCGCAAGAATTTTCTAAAATGATGGACAGGAATAGTCCCGATTTTCGTTTTAAAAAATAATTTGAAAAAGAGACAATGAGCACAAACTAATGAGATGGAATCGTTTGACACTGGTGATGGCGCCTTGACACCTAGACCTCGTTCAATATTCCACTCGAGCGATTGAATTCAGTATAGGATCGAAACAAATGTTGTTTTTATACTGAAATGCCTGATGATGAGGGTCTCGTGTACGTCCAACGACGTGGAGACCTGGAGGTGGGGAAGGAAAGTTTCCCAGGACCGGTTATTCGCTTTTGCAGTTCAAGTATCCATCGGCTTCCACTCGTCAGTTCACTCTGCGACTGTTCCCTTGCACGAGACTTTTTATTTAAACTTTTCATCATGTTCACCTGATTGTCAATTACACCAGTCGTGCTATTTGGGGGCTATTCAATTATTGTGCGTCTCTCATTGCATGACCGAGCGGTCGTCGACATCCAACCGGAAGTTGCTGTGATATACTGATAAATAAATTATTTCTCCCAAGGAAATTCACGTTCATTTCTCGTAAGTCAATGGTCATTATTTTTTTCATCAGGATTTTATTAATATTTTACAAAGGGACTGAAAATATTTTCCACTCGTAATACATTACGTTTATTATTAAAAATTCTGCAATGATGAATTAATAAATTGAAAATTATCGGTATTTTTGTTATTAAAAATTTGGAAATTTCAATTATTTTTTAAGTGTCTTATAATTTTCTGAGGGATTTTTTATTGGACTTTAGCGGAATTTGAAAATGTACGGGAGAAAAAATATCGTGTCCCCGGGATTCTACGAGAGGATCGTGGAAAAATCGAAGAAAATTGAGCCCCTGAAAATCGGTGTTGCTAATTTTCAAATGGAAGCCGATCCTTTGACACCGGAGCTCGCGGAAAAAGCGAGAAATGAACTGAGAGAAACTCCGGAGATCGTGGAACAGGCACTTGCAGAGATGAGGGAATTGCTCAAAGGTATTCTTTACATTACCTGTAATTTATTTGAATCGCCGAGTAATTCTAGGAATCGACTTCAACTTGATAAACGCAACAGAAAATTTTCTTCTCGTCCATGAAATCCTCGAGTTTTCACTTCCCAGATAAAAATCTTCATAAAAAATTGTTCAATAAATTACCTGAGACTGTCAAAAAACCAATTACCCAAAAAT